CATGAAAATGTTGGGACTGTGACAAGGGACTAAGAGCACCAGTTTGGGGCCAGACGGGGCTCAGTTCTGCTACTTCTCCACTGTGAAGGGCCTCCGTTTCCTCACCTAGAAAATAAGGGAAATGGGGAGAATGATGCCTTGACTGGCTTTTTGTGAGGATTAAAGGAGAAAGGTCTGGCCCGCAGTAAGCACTCCACCTTTAATATATGCAGCTAAGAACGGGAGGTAGGCCCAGAGGTGAACTATTAAAGGAGAAAGGTCTGGCCCGCAGTAAGCACGCCACCTTTAATATATGCAGCTAAGAACGTGAGGTAGGCCCAGAGGTGAACTAGGCCCAGATACAGATTCTTGATGTTCGTCACTCATGGTTTGCCTCATTTTGTAAGTCATTTGGGAAATGCTAAGGCTCGCCCCAGCCCCGATCTCTGAGGGAATTCTGCTCTCAACCCATATTCTTCATTCAGAGCAGGACTTCCTTTGTTGGGGGCGTTTTCTGAGCTATTCCCCTTCCTGGGCCAACAGTGCCCTCTGCCTCATGCACTTCAGCCTTAAGCTGTCTCTTCTGGCGGTGGGGCTGTTCAAACCGTTTGGGCATCTGAATAAGTGATATGGCTGGTCATGGGGCCCGCATATGGTTCTCACTCTCAAAGAATGCATATTTGTTACTGAAATTGCATCCCATTGGCTGGCAGGCGAGCTTGCTTTTATCTTGGATTGCCTTCTCTTGCTCGAAGAGAAGGCCTTTTTAAAAAAAGACCATTTATTGCTGTACTGGGGTTCAACGCTGAAACATCTTAAAGATAAACTTGAAATTTTTGCTCCTGCCCATGTTCCATTCCACACCCTTTCTGTGCCCCCATCATTCCTAAGTAACCATTGAGATCAGTTTCTTGTGCATCCTTCCCAAGTTTCTTTTTCAGAGGACAGACAAATGCAAATATACATTCTTATTTCCCCCCATTTTTATTTGCTGATTTTAGCGAGAAAGAGAGACATCGACATGAGAGAAAAACATCAACTGGTTACCTTCCAAATGGGCCCCGACCAGGGATCGAACCTGCAACCTTTGGTGTATGGGATGATGCTCCAGCCAACTGAGCCACACCAACCAGGGCCCCCCATTTTTATTTAAAAGGAGCAAAAAAAAACATACTGTCCTGCACTTTGCTTTTTTCCGCACATTCTGTGTATCTGGGAAATCATCCCATATTTGTTCAGAGAGTGTCCTTATGGATGACTGGGAGAGCCCCAGCCAGGCCAGGCAGAACGTACCTAAACGTTAGCAGAGGGGACTTCCCAGCACTGAGAGGACTAAGCAGCCAGCAAGAGGCCTTTTCTCTTCCTGATTGAGTTCCCGGAGTTCTCCCTCCAGGCTGAGGGATGCCATGTCCCTGGGGCCAGGGACAAAGCTCTCCTTAGACCTGTGACACCTACAGCCTGGGCACCCCTCACCCCCCACCCCCACCCCAGCCGGTGATTCCTTCCGTCCGAGGCCTGCCAGTCACAGGGTCTCCCACAGGGAAGGGGCTGGCCTACAGGGAGGGTTGAGGCAGATGGTCATGGTGCTCCCCAGGAAGGCTGTGGGTCCCAAGGACAGGGCTCACTCGGCTTGTCCCTTCGTGGATAACTCCAAGGTGCCCCCCAGTTGTCAGGCTGGCGTGAACCCATTCTCACAGCCTCCACACCGTGGGCAGCAGGCTCAATCACATGACCTCCCAAGGCTCTAAGGTGGCTGGAGCTGGGCACTGACTCAGTTTCCCTTGCCGTTCCCTTGGCTGAGCTGCTGGTCAGGAAAGCTTGTGTCGCTCTGTTCCAGGAGTTGTGCAGCATCTGCAGAATGGCCAGCTGCTGAGGGACATCTACCTAAAGAAACACCAACTCCTGCCCAGTGACTGGTCCCCCGACCAGCTCTACTTAGAGACCACGGGGAAAAGCCGGACGCTGCAGAGCGGGCTGGCCCTGCTGTATGGCTTTCTCCCCGACTTCGACTGGAAGAAGGTCTATTTCAGGCACCAGCCCAGCGCTCTGTTCTGCTCCGGAAGCTGCTACTGCCCCATGAGAAACCACTACCTGGAAAAGGAGCAGCGTCGGCAGTACCTCTTACGCCTGAAGAACAGCCAGCTGGAGAGGGCCTACGGGGAGATGGCCAAGGTCGTGGACATCCCCACCAAGCAGCTGCGGGCCGCCAACCCCATCGACTCCCTGCTCTGCCACTTCTGCCACAACCTCAGCTTCCCCTGCACCGGAAACGGCTGCATCGACATGGAGCACTTCAAGGTGATCAAGACCCATCAGATGGAGGACGAGAGGGAGAGGCGGGAGAAGAAACTGTATCTGGGGTATGCGCTCCTGGGCGCCCACCCCATCCTGAACCAGACCGTCGGCCGCATGCTGCGAGCCGCCGAAGGCAGGAGCGAGGAGGTCTTCGCCCTCTATTCTGCTCACGACGTCACTCTGTCCCCAGTCCTCAGTGCCCTGGGCCTGACGGAAGCCAGGTTCCCGAGGTTCGCGGCCAGGCTGATCTTCGAGCTCTGGCAGGACAGGGACGAGCCCAGGGAGCACGCGGTGCGGGTTCTCTACAACGGCGTCGACGTCACGTTCCACACCTCCTTCTGCCAGGACCACCGCCGGCGCTGGCCCAAGCCCATGTGCCCCCTCGACAACTTGGTCCGCTTCGTCAGAAGGGACATGCTGGTGGCCCTGGGGTCTGGTAGCACTAATTATTATGATGCCTGTCACCGGAAGGGATTCTAAGAGGTGCAGAGTCCAGCACTCACAGAGTCTATGTCGAAACAGAGGGGTGGGAAAGGTACACTTCTCGTTCCAGCCTTCGCTAAGGGTACAAGGTTATTGATTTCCATGGCTAGACACTGTGCTAGGGAGCCACACAGATGGCTTTCGGTTGAACAATGAGGACATTGTTGAATTCGGGTTCGGGAGTTCCTTGATACACAATGACCAATTCACAGAAAGAGGAAGGTACTTTATCATATCCAGACTTTGCTTACCCATGCCAGACTATTTTAATACTCAGAGTTGCCAGTCCACATGTGTATTCTTCTGACCTGCCAGTGGTACTGTGCCATGGGACCAGCAAACCTCAGCCCAAATGTGTTTAATCTGGGACCATCTTACCTTGTCCTTGTTCGGTGAAAAATTTCCCCAAGTAATTTATGTAAAATAGGGCTTGACAGACTTTTTCTGTACAAGGCCAGAGAGTAGATAGTTTAGACTGTGCAGACCAAACAGCCACACACAGTCTCTTGCCACAGCGCTTTTCGTTCTGCTCTTGTCACGGGAAAGCAACCACAGACGGTACATCCAGCGTGCACAGGTCGCACAAAACAGGCCGTGGGTCAGGTGTGGCCCTGGGGCGATGGCTCGCTGGCCCCTGATCCAAAATACGGGCTCTACTACAATTGCACTCTCAGCACTTTTGAGAACCGGGTGGATACTAAGAATTACTCAGCAGTGCCTCCGGTCACTTCTGCTAGCAACACAGAATTTGGTCTGTATCTATTATAACAAAACAAAGGGAAATACACATTGAACCAGAAGGAGTCACAGAAAAGTTGTCAGAGTCATACTTGATGTTCATGATGATTGTGGTATGATAGTTTCAAGGATGTTTTGAACATTTGTCTGCTGTCGTCTATTTGCTGTATATGCTGAAATTTTTGTATTCCACTTGGTATTTTTATAGTCTAGGAGAATATTTTCTGAGACCCGTTTTAGATGTGCCCTGATTCCCTTGTAATAGTCCATTTGCGGCCCCTGGTTGGTGTTCAGAAGGGAGCCAGAAGCTGACGACAGGCACTTCCTTCCAATAAAATGAATTATGGCTTATTCCCTTGGACAAGCTGTAGGACTGGATCAACTTTTAAACCCTTTTTGTGAGTTTCGAAAGGTAAATTCTAACTGATTTTTAAGTACGTTTTTTGGGAGAACTTTGGTACTAGTTAAATAATCTTTATAAGGTATTTTGTATATTAGAAGCAGTGATTAAATCTGTGGTTTCTGAACTAATGGTGCTAGTTCTGTGCGAAGAGATGTCACGTGCAAGTGAGGTTCTCCAGTGTCATTGATAGCCCCATCATTTCTCTTCGTTTTTACCCAGTGTTGCATTTAAATACATGTTTCTATGAATAAATTTTGATGAATACTTGTACGTACCACTAACGGTTTGTACCTCTAAGTCACTGTGGTTCTTTTCAAGTGAGGGCCAATATTTTTAAAATTTATCCTTTTTTTTTTTGTATAAATGAAAATGTGCTAAATTAGAAAACTCTACAGCACATGTGGGGAAGGGAGGGCCAGGCCCTGTGGTGCGCTGCGGCCGCTAACAGGCTGCGCTGGGCCCAGCAGGGACAACGGAAAGGAACGTCCTGCTTCCTTCTCTCAGGGCAGCAGCAAGATCGCTGGGCCAGGAGGACGCGTCCCAGCTGGTGGCCTAGGGCTGGGTGAACATTTGTCTTACCTGCTTCTATTGCTGACCACCTTGTGTTGTCTCTGGAGTATTTAAAGCCTAAGCAGGTGTGTGTTTTTCTCTCTCTCGCAGTATTTGAATTAGACCTGCTTAACGCAGCTTGAAGAACATAGAATTGAATCAGAAGATGTTTTAAAAATTATTTTGCAACACCTGTTAGTAAAGGTAAATATTTTGGCTAAGAGCCCACATTGAAAGTGTTGTAGATACAGGTTTTGCCTCGGTGATGAGAAAAACAGCCTTTGAGGGAAAACAGCTTTGTTTTCCTGAATTGTTGCCAAGGCCTTTTACAACATGGCAGCCCTGCTCACACCCAGAGTCCGAACACTTAGGTAAGAACTTGAGCTTAGGACGCCCACCGCCAGTTCCCGCTTTACTTTTCCAGGGCTCCTCTTAACATAACCGCGTAGAGTTACACCTGCAAAGAGTCAGTGGCCTCCGCCCCAGCGCCTTATAGGTGATAGGTGTGTCCTCCCTGTTCTCTGTCTCCTGCTGCACGTGACCCGGTGGAGGACTGCCATTCCCCCAGTTGCACCCCCCTAACTGGGATCTGTAAGTAATAAATCTTGTGACGACTTCCTTTGTGTGGATGTATTGAAACTGCGCCTTCAATCAAAACGGCCTGTGGGTGGGTTTCACTTCCCCAAACTGAGCTCTTGGATGCTGGGGGAGCTACCTGCTGCCTCTGTGGGGGTCGCTTGTGCTTCCTCATTCAACAGATCACAATCTGTGTGTTCTTCCGCCTCCCCCCCCCATAGATTTTTAAATTTTTATTTTTTAAATTACGGTTCACATACAATATTATACTAGTTTCAGGTATACAACATAGTGAGACATTTATATTCTAGTCTTTTTTATTTTTAATATATTTTTATTGATTTCAGAGGAAGGGGGGAGAGAGAGAGAGAGAGAGATCAATGATAAGAGAGAATCATTGATCAGCTGCCTCCAGCATGCCCCACATTGGGAATCAAGCCCATAACCCAAGCATGTGCCCTGACCGGGAATTGAACCGGGACCTCCTGGTTCATAGGTCGATGCTCAACCACTGAGCCACCGTGGCTGGGCTATACTATTCTTAATATACCAGCTCCAGCTTTTCAACACAGCCTCCCAAGACATTGTATGTGCACAGCATTAAAATATCTTCCTTCAGATCAAGTTCTAAGACATTTCGTTCCATAAACAAACACTGAGCATTGAGCTGAGCTGAATGGATTTCATTCTTGGTGTCTGGGCAATGGGCTCAGTGGCTTAGTTCATAGCAAGTGTGTGTACGTGGGTATATTCAGCTTCCTGTTTTTTTATAATTAAAATTAACACAATGCACACTGGAAAACAAGTAATACTGAAAACTTCGAAGTGAAATTCTCTTCTAATCCCTCCTCCAGAGGGAACACTGTGAGACCCTGGCAGATATTCTTACAGAGATTTTCCATGTGGATGCAGAAATGTATAATTTTCCATGTGGATGCAGAAATGTATATATAAATCGTTTTATATATATTTTATGACTTGCTTTCCTTAACAATATTTTTATCTGGTTGTTTCCTTTAATAATGTGCCTTAGGCATGTTTCTCATTAACTTGCTTCTCTTAATCTGTCTGGGAGATATTTCTACCTTGAGATAGATTATAGATAGATAAATAGGTATATAGATGTAGATAGAATAAGCTCTTTTTATAGCCACTGTATAATATTTCATGATAGAGATGAAACATTTTTTAAATCTTTAAAGATGTATGAAATTGAAACTTAAAACCAAGGCACCAAAACAGGATGACAAGGCTTTTGATCAAAGTTACACAGAACAAAGCAGAGGCCAGCAAATGTATGTGTTGATTTTCTAGCTTAACTGAGTAGTTAACCCCTTTCCAGTGTAGCTATAGGTATTAACTAATATAAGCGGTGTATTTCTCTAATTTCACTAGTAAAAGAATCGAAGAACTTAATCTGATATTGCTATTAAGCCTTTTTGAGGATCTTCCCAGCTATAGCAGAATTAGGCTTTTGAAAGAGTTGAGGGATTCCCTTCTGTAGAGCTCACAGAGACTGATGCAGGAGCTGCAGGGATGCAGGCTTCTGTTTCTCTGAGTCTTCAGGAAGCCCTCAGAGTAGACTTAGCAGCCCAGGCCATGGTGGCTGTACCTAGTGTGTTTAAACACAACCGCAGGAGAAAGCAGAAAACAGGTGGGGTTTACACTGCAGTCCTGGCTTTGATAGTGGCTGGCACAGAGTTCTGGCCTGGGCATCAGTTAGCTCCCACTGCTCAAGGCCACTGACCTGAGTGTTGGGGTTATACGCCTGCAGAGTGGCTGTCCAGTGGCCAGCTCAGGTGACTAATAATAGCTTCTGTTTAAGAGGAACCAGCTGAATTCACCAGAGTGGCTGGCCAGGCCTTCCTGGTCTCTAGAGCTGAGAGTGGCCTTGAGGAGGAGGAGAAGGTATGTCCCTGAGGGGCCAGCATGAAGCTGCAGAGCTCCAGCCCCTGACAGAGTGATGGCCGGAGGTAGTAAAGGCATGTCTATCAATCTAAACAACTTTCTGAGGAAGGTCCTGTTACCCCTAATACAAATGAGGAAACCAGCTCAGATGCGTGAAGTCACTTTTCTAAAGGAAAAGTCAAAGCCTAGAGAGTAACGCAAATTTATTAATCCTCCCAATAGCCCTGCAAGATACCGTATTTGCTGGTGAATATCAAGGAATATTAAAACACTAGAGGACCGGTGCACAAAAATTTGTGCACTCGGGGGCGGGGGGATCCCCTCAGCCCAGCCTGTGCCCTCTCACAGTCTGGGACCCCACAGGGGATGACCACCTGCTGGCTTAGGCCCGCTCCCCGGGAGATGGGGCCTAAGCTGGCAGACATCCCTCTGGCAGCGCGGGACCCCTCAGGGGATGTCCACTTGCCAACGAGGAACAGGCCTAACCTGCAGTTGAATGTCCTTAGCGCTGCTAAGGAGACAGGAGAGGCTCCCACCACCACCGCTGTACTGGCAGCCATCAGCCTGGCTTGTGACTCAGAAGAGGGCCCCCCCTCTGGCAACCAAAGCTCCCAGCTTTTCCTTTTTTTTTTTTTATTCACTCCAGTTCTGTGGCCATGGCGACTGGAAGCAGGTATCTGGGGTTTATTCACCTTCTATAATTGAAACTTTGTTGCCTTGAGACGAGGCAGCCGCCAGTCGGGAAGCTTGGCTTCTTTCATCATTGAGGCAACCAAGTCTCCTGCTTGCTCCAGCTCTGTGGCTGCCGGCCGCCATCTTGGTTGGGTTAATTTGTATATAGTCACTCTGATTGGCTGGCGGGCGTGGCTTTAAGGCATAGTGAAGATACAGTCAATTTGCATGTTTGTCTTTTATTAGTGCAGACCGTAGGGTTTCAACAGTTATAAATTTAAAACTAAATGGTTAGGACAATATTCTTACCCTGCTTCTTAATGTTAGTGGTTGCTGTTTTCTTTTTTAAATATATTTTTATTGATTTCAGAGAGGAAGGGAGAGGGAGAGAGAGATAGAAACATCAGTGATGAGAGAGAATCATTGATCGGCTGCCTCCTGCATGCCTCCCTACTGGGGATTGAGCCACAACCCGGGCATGTGCCCTTGACCAGAATTGAACCAGGGACCCTTCAGTCCGCAGACCGACACTCTATCCACTGAGCCAAACTGGCTAGGGCAGTGGTTGCTGTTTTTAAGAAAAAACTTAATATGTAAATCTAGCCTTTGCAGTGGTGTTATATTATATTCAGCCACTAGGGGGCAGCATTAAATATAATTTTTTAGCTTTCAGGACCCAGTCTTCCATTGTAAAAGAGGCAGGGTAGTTGTGTGATATGTTTAATAGGGCGACCAGTCATCTCAGTTTGTCTGGGGCTGAGGGATGAAGGAGTTCCAGTGCTAAAAATACAAAAGTTCCTGACAAACTGGGTCAAGTTGATGACTTTAGAGTTGACATGCATTAGATGCCACTGTTAGACTTTATAGAAATGGGGAAGCTTGATGGAGTGACTAATCTGAGGTTTCACTTAGCTAACTAGTATGCATCAGAGCTGGGACTCAAAGCTGTTGTCCATTAACTTGAAGGACCATATTCTTAAGCAAGATATGAAAATGCCTCTCTGAACCATTTGGGACTGTTTGGTCACGTGCAACATCTGAAACCATGGATAATACTGCATCCTAAATACTAGTATATTCCTACACAGTTAGACCTATGATAAAGTTTAACTTATAAATTATGCACAGCAAGAGATTAATAATAACTAATAGAACAATTATAGCAATATACTACTGTAATAAAAGTTATGTGAATGTGTCTCAAACATGTAATTTTAAAAAAATTTCCACCCACAAATGTAATGCCTTTTCCATCTTAACTAAGCACTTATCATGCACTGCGGCTTCAACTTTTGAGTCTGAGGTGCGACTGTGAAACTAGCATGAATTTCTTTATTACCAGAGATCTTAATAAAAGTTACATGAATGTGGTCTCTGCCCCACCCTCAAAATATCTTATTGAATTGTACTCACCTTTTCATTTAAAGGAAGTATTTTACGGCTTCTCTTTGGCATATCCAAATTGCCAGCATCACCGCTGTTGCACTTTGGGGTCATTATTAAATAAAACAAGGGTGACTTGAACACAAGTACTGTGATACCACGATAGTCCATCTGATAACCGAGATGACAGGCGAGTAGTGGATACACTGGACAAAGGGATCATTCATATCTTGGATGAGATGGAGCAGGATGGTGCGAAATTTCACCATATCACTCAAAACAGTGGGACATTTAAAACATAAATCTTTTATTTGCTGAATTTTCCCTTTAATATTTGTGGACCATGGCTGACCATGGGTAACAGAAACTGGAAAGTGAAACCACGGATAAGTAGGAGACTCCTGTACCACTATAGTAAACATTTCTCACAGGGCCAAATTTAAGGATGTATGATGGCTTACTAATACATACTAAATATATACTCAATATTTCTCTCCAACATATGTAGGTTGTACATTTGTGATAGCACAAATCAAACCATGCCACTCCTTGTTCAAAATCCTTGGCCCTCTACTGCCTTCTAGAGAAAATCCGTGCTTCCTCAGCTGACTCACAAGGCCCTTCATGACCTGGCTCCCACTTACCTCTGCAGCTTCATTACATGCAATAGTACAACGCTGAAGGGGCTGTACTGAGACGGCAGTCTTGCATTTCTTGCACACCTGGGAGAGAGAAAAAGGGGTGTCAGTGTCATCACATGGTATATCAGATTTGCAGACTCCCTGAAGGGGACAGCCACAGTGACCTCAGTAATATGATGTTAGGGTCACAGCGCACCCCTGCCTAAACCCACAACAGCTTTACAATGTTAGGGGATAGCGCCCATCTCTACAATCTGTATCTCAGGGGTCCTTTCGAGCTCATAGCCTTGCTCACGTGTGACTGCACTCTCGAGGCCCCAGAATTTGGGTGTGTTTCCCCTCAGCCTATGCTACCAAAATTTCGGCTCAGATGCCTCTTCTGACAGTAACACGATGCCGCTAGGTCCTGCATCTCTGAGTTATCACATGCCGCTGTAATTGCCCAATTATACTAGTAGTTGTCAATTGTAATTGACAGGCACCCAAGTCCATCTGTCACATTCCACCCCGGGTCCCCTCCCCACCGGACCAGGAACCTGAAGAGCAGACGGTCCGAGGCCCGGCGGGCTTGGACGCACAGGTCTCTTCCCTGTCCCTGGCCCCCTGCCTCACGCCCCGGAACAATAGTACCCCTGCTGTAAAAAACAGAAATGCGCATGCGCAATGAACAGCATGAACTACGACTCCCAGAATCCTCTTGACGGAGACTCCATTTCCCAGCACTCTCCTGGAGCCCCTACTCCGGAACTGCGCTCTTTTTTCCAAGGCGGGAAATGAGGCAAACCTTGCCTTAGAGACGGGTTCTGAAGGCGCATAACTCTGCGAGGTGCCGCGGCCTATGTGCCTCCAGGGGTCGTGCTTGAGTCAGAGAGACGCGAGCTCCGGGGAAAGGACCAGGCCGCAGCCCTTCCCGCGCGTCGCTGCGCTGTGTCCAGGTCCCCTCCGCCGCGCCAGCCGCCCGCAGTCGGTCTGCTGCTCCGGCTTTGTCGGCCTGTAGCCGCTGCAAACTCTCTGCCCACCTCCGGGCGTCTCTGGAGACAGAGGCCAAGAGCTCATGCACATATTTCCTGGGACCCCTTGTTCCCAGCCCCGCATTGCCTGTTTCCCCGTGGGAAGAAATGAAGACCTTGGCCCTAAGGGCATGACCCACCGGGCTCCACGTGTGAGTCCCTCAGCTCTTCTGCCACTTGAAGCCATGGCCGCAGGAGTGGGAGCCGTGGGGGTGGAGCGGTGTGGACTGTAGCGGGGAGGGGGAAGCTCTATGGCTCCTGTGACACGAGCCGGTGGCTTTATCCAGTCCGTCCGCTGCGTTTCAGAGGCCCGGGTCCCGGAGAAAGCCTCCTTCCTCAGACCCCGGCAGCGCCTGGGGTCCTCCTGCCTGTTTCTCATTCCCCCTCAGAGGCCACTTAGGTCACCGACCTGGAAATGAGCAACGGTGGGACTGGGATGGACTCAGGGAGCCTGGAGCATCGGAAGGAAGGAGCGGACTGAGAGGGAACCACTGCGGGGGCATTTGGGCTGAAAGTGACCGGGTCAGAAGAGGAGGGTTAGGGCACCGGGTGCAGGAGTGAGGGAGGGGCTGTGACCTGTCATCACTGTGAATCTCAGAGGGAAGAAATATGTGCATCGCTAGGCAGGCAGCGGATGCACACATCTTTCAGAGCTCTGTGTCTTTATGCGAGACAGAAGTCAGTCCTTTAGTTTTGTTCCAGACATTTTCAGTGCAGTCAACACTTGCCCGTGGGCCTGTGGAGTTACAACCACTTCCGCCGCCTTCTGCTAGTAATTCCAAGTTTCTCAACATTGCCACGCTCCTCCGTGCTAGCGGTGGAGGTCCCAGGGGCCCTTTCAGGGGATCTGCAAGGTTAAAACTGTTTCACAGTAATGCAAAGATTTATTTGCATTTTTTATTGTATTGACATTTACGTTTAAAATAGTGTGTACCCCCCTCCCCAATAGGGGGCGTGCAGGAAGCAGACAATTGATGTTTCTCATCAATGTTTCTCCCTCTCTCTGAAATCAATAAAAACGTATTTTTAAAAAAATAATAAAATGGCATGTAGCCCCTGGTGGGGAAGCTCAGATGGTTAGAGCACTGTCCTGATTCACTAAAGTTGGGTTCAATCCCCAGTCAGGGCACATAGAAGAATCAACCAATGAATGCATTAATAAGTGGAACAACAGCCGAAACCGGTTTGGCTCAGTGGATGGAGCGTCCGCCTGCGGACTGAAAGGTCCCAGGTTCGATTCCGGTCAAGGGCATGTACCTGGGTTGCGGGCACATCCCCAGTGGGGGATGTGCAGGAGGCGGCTGATCGATGTTTCTCTCTCATCGATGTTTCTGATTCTCTATCTCTCTCACTTCCTCTCTGTAAAGAATCAATAAAAGATTTAAAAAAAAAAATAAGTGGAACAACAAATCTCCCCCTCTCTCTCAAATCAATCAATAAATAAATAAAACTTTTTAAATAAATGGTATGTAAAACTGCTGGCACCTTGGCATGAATCAAGGCCATGGCATTGAGCTATATTTGCAGTTATTGTGCTTTTCACCAATGCTCTTGGAGGGAAGGAGAGCCAATTTCACTTAAGAATGTCCTTAGTGAAGCTGTTAAAAGTAGTCATTATACTAAATTTTGAACCTTGAGTACACGTCCTTCCATATTCTGTGTGGCAGGATGAAAAATAGGCGTAAAGCGAATCTGCTGCAGACCAGTGTTCTATATTTGTCTTGAGGAAAAGTGCTGGGAAAAGCAACCACGTATGCAGTCTTTCAACCCCTGTACAGTTGCATAAGAATAGGCCTTGTGCCTAGAGCATTTCCTTACCAAGAGAAAGGGCTCTCACAGCCCGTGCTGGCCACCTCTCTTTGGGGACATCTTTCCCTGTTCTGGACTTGACGTGTACTTCCTCCTTCTGCTAAAGCATGTGTGTCATATGGCACCTGACCAGCCCTATTGCTCCATCTGTTCCTCGTAGGGAGGGAAGGGGGGTCCTTCAGTTGCAGCCAAAGAGCAGTAGTGCATGCATGCTGGCCATGGGGGAAACTCACTATTGAAGCTGATCTTGCTCTTTCTCTTCTCTAGGTGAGTCAAGTGTTGCTCCATCCAGTGCCTGTGTGAGTCTTGTCTCCCTTGGCAACCCCAACACCTGCAGACTATGGAGTGGGAGGATGTCCTGGCACTGCTGGTCCTGATGGCAGGTATTGTTATGCTCTTGGCAGTGGAATTCCTCCTCCTGTGGAGGTAGTCATAGGTATCACTTGGTTGGCAAAAAGCAATCCTGTGCTCGTTCAATATGCCAGCTGAACTACACTCCCAAAACACACCTCTTTTACTTGGATGACTGTCAGTGTGATTATTTGGACTTGGTGTTTGGTAGACATTTTCCACCAAGTGAACAAAATGAGATTGTCACTTCAAGGGAAATAACTGACATTATTTGTTGCTAATGATAAAATTTGGTCTTTCAAGCATAAATTAGAATTTTGAAAACCACATCTGCCACATAACTTGACAGTTTCCCAATGTTTGAAAGATGCTTCTGATGAGGTGCTGATACCTGCAAGTGTGATTTTCCCTTTCTTATGTTGAATAACGTGCCAACATTTGGAAGATCTGCATAATTCAGATATCTGTTGTTGCAGAACAAATTACTCCAAACATAGTGATTTAAAACAACAAACATTTATTATCTCTCAATTTCTGTGAGTCAAGAATTTGACTTAGGTAGACGGTTCCGACTTAGGGTTTCTCCTGCAGCTGCAGTGAAGATGCTTGTTGAGGCTGCAGTCATCTGAAAGCGTGGCTGCAGGCAGCTAGAGTATCTGCATCCAGGAGGCACACTCACGTGGCTGTTGGCAAGTGGCCTCAGTCCCTCACCACCTGGACCTCTCCGCGGGGTTTTGAGTATCCTCACAACATGGCAGCCAGCTTCCCCCGGAGCAAAGTGACCCGAGAGAGAGAGAGGAAACTAGAAGTCTTATGATGTACTCTCCGAAGACACGCCGTGTCGTTTCCACCACATTCTGTTCATTAGAAGTGAGTCATACGTACAGCCCACACTCGAGGAGAGGGTAAATGCGCTCTGCCTCTTAAAGGGAAGGGTACCAACAATTAGTGGACATGTTTTAATAACACGTCACTTAGTGACCCAGTGTTTTCCAAACGACCTTCATGAAATGACAGGGAATTGAATTGTGACTTCCTGGTTCAGAGGTCAACACTCAACCACTGAGCCAAGCCAGCCAGACTCATTTAATAGCATTTTAAGGAATATTCAGTCTGTCAGCCCAGATAGTTAGAAGACAAGGGACATCAAGGAGAAAATATTCATGAGATATATAAATGATAAGAGTCTAATAATCCAAATATATAAATCAATAAAAAAAAGGTAACCCAATTGAAAAATGGACAAATACGAACAGGCAATTCACAGAATTAGAAATATAGTTAACCAAAACACATATGACAAGATTTTCAACATTACTAGTAAGAAAATTACAAGATAAAACAACAGTAAGATGTTTATTTTCATAAAAATATTATCAGCTAGTTATAAAAGAGTAATAGTGTTGGTAAAGAGGTTTCTGAGATCAAGCCCTTTCATATAATTCTCTGTTGATGTGAGCACAAATTGGTACAGTGTTTTTGATAGGCAATTGGGCTTTATTTATCACCATTAAAATTCCTGTGTTCCCTTTGAGGTAGTGGGAGAGTCAAGGACTAGTGGGATGTGCTAGGGGAATGGATGTAATGCAAGCATGTCAAACTCAAAGGCTAACACGGGCCAAATGAACAAGGTTTAAGTTTATGTGGGACGCAAAAAAAACCCAAAAGCTTCAATTTTTATAGAAACGTAGGTTCTATTTCAATAGAGTCATGCTGAATACAAAGAGCTGAAATAAATGAGTAATCGTTAAACCTCGATTATAGTAATCAGTCATTAGTGAACGTTGTGGTTCGTTATTAATAATGTATAACAGGATATTGTAAAAATTAAGTTACAAAATTTTTATTAAAACATTTCTTACATACCATAATATTGGCTGGGCCACAAAAATATTCGTGGCCCGCATGCAGCCCACGGGCTGTGAGTTTGACATGCTTGATGTAATGGAAGGGTCTAGACTAGAGGAAATGGGTTTAATGCCAGGGGCTAAAGACTGGGGTGTAAAGGGAGGGATCTGTGGTTCTGGGAGTGATTTAGGACGAGGATTGATAAAGAAAGTGGGAAAGTGACAAAGGCCTGAGAAACCAAGAGGTACTTAAAAGGATTGGGGAAAGTGAAAACACATGACAATGGAAGGATTAGAAACAATGAAGACACTTGTTGAGAAGGACAAGAAGGGAAGGGGTGGGATTGGCCCAGACTACATAGGTGAAATGGAAACAACTGGTTTTCAGTAAATGGACCCAGAGCCACTGGCAAACAGGACCTGTTAATGCTGAGCAAGGCCCCTGTGGCAGAATGAGGTTTGTTAGCAAACAGGAAACAGTAACTTTCATAGTGCTGCTAACTGTGCCTTGCAAAGTTCTTTTACTTCCTCTCCTCTTGACTCTGTTTGCACACAGCAGTTTGCTTATAAAAGCAACCTGAGATCTTTGAAGACTCCTTAGCCTGAAGCCTCTGGTAGTCA